GCGGGGTTGGGTTGGGGTTGGGTTACCCTAATAGGTAATGACTAGGTCCAAGTGAGCCTAGTCATTACCTATTAAGGTAACCCAACCCCAACCCAACCCCGACCCATTTACCAGCGTAATCTGAACCTTCTAGGACCCACTTAATTGATTGTTGCGGACTGTGGCTAAAGCCTCTAGCTGACCTAATTATTCCGAAAGCTAACGAGGTGGATGTTAAGGACTATTAACAGAACGAGGTCCTACTAACACCTATTACGTCGGTTTTAGCAGAGGGCCTTATGTCGCTTCGAAATCTAATTATTGAGCAGGACGCTGGTGCTCTAGACGAGACAAACAAACGAAACCTACAGACACCTCCACAAGCTAGCCAAAGCCGCGCAGCTATCTCTCGCAAAGGGATCCCTCTAACAGAATCACATCTAGTTCTTGCTAATAGTTAACAACGAAGCTAAGGTGCGACAGTCGACTAAGTCGCTAGTACTAGGCAAAGCCAAGGTAATAGGCTACGAGGAGCTCGTAGAAGCACGAGTGAAGCGCGTTGAGAAAGAAGCTGCTCAGAAGGCGAAAGGCAAAGGGAAGCGAGGCTAGAAGCGCACGAGTGCTGCGGCAGAGGATGATGCAGCGGAGCCAAAGACGAAGGCGAAGAGGGTGACCGAAGAGCCACAGCCACCGATAACGCTAGCGACAACATCGACCGTCGCAGCTGTGGTGGGGATTGAGACTGCACCTGCCCCATGGAGGGCCCCAGTGGCGCGGATGTACTAGTGAATCAGGACATGGGATGAAGCTTGTGATAGCCTGGGTAAGACGGCCGTCGTGATCTTGTAGCGGAGCCTCTTGGTACGCCAGCGGAAAGCCGATTGTTCTGCTGCGCTTCTTAAGAGTAATAAACGTATGTGCCACTGTAAGGTTCTTATTATCGTGAAACCGCTGTTGCGCCGTCTACTATATCTGTTGCTATGCCTTGTGGTGGCTATTCGCGCGGTTCGTGTCCCTCATTGTACGTTACCGTAGCTAAGGCAAGCAACTTTACGTCCGTTCAGTATGTTGGCTTTACGGTTACTCGACGCGTCTTACGGATGCTAAGAGTACATATCGCAAGATTTAGGTAGACAAGGCAGCATGCTCACATCAAACAACTAAGGGTGGCAGGCTCGAAAATAGGGTAGTCGTGATTGGTAGGCGGAGGTTGCGTGAACGTGGTTCATAGCATGCTGCACATTAATAGTATTTCGTTGTCCGCGTTAGAGCCGCTTGCTGGCGTTAGACAAATGCATCGCTCAAGATGTTCTAGGTCGTTCTTCACGCTATCGTCGCTGCGTTGCGTTCCGAGCCCCACGATAGTTGGCTAGTGTGTCCTTGCACGAACTAGCACGCGCTGCACAGACATCTTAACATCCTCTTACCGTAAATGACTGTCCGTAACTTGCGTTTTCTGAACTATTAGATCGCGTCCTTAGGCAATACCTACTTCTCGGTTCGCAGCACGGTGGCTGTCGCGCGATGATGCGTTGTCAGCCTTGCCCAACCAGCCTTGTCGCGGCGCAGGCGGGCTTCGCCTCCTGCCCTGGGTATTAGAGATGCAGCCTGCCCCAACAACAAGAAGGCCAGTCTTCCTTACCTCTCATTTAGCAAACCGTTACTCTATACTCGCAAGAAGCCCAGTAGCTACAATCTCCACGCACTACGCGAGCGAGCCGCCGTGCGCCGTCGATTCCGTCAGCCTGCTTCGAGATTCAAAGACTCGCTTCTACCCCTCGCGCACACAGACGCATACATAACTCGATGAGACTGCTGTACATCAAAAGCGATGGGAAGCTTAGATGGACCGGGGACAAGATCGGGACAA